TTCTTGATTTCTCCAAAGCATTCAATTCATTAACCATCCCATCCTTTTCAAAAAACTAAAATCATTATCCTTCTCCCCAATAGTTCCATCTCTAGGTTCCAATCTTTCCTCTCATAACGTACCCAAGCAGTTTCCGCTCCAATCAACAGCTACCTTCCCACCTTTCTTTATCCTCCGGAGTTGACCAGGGTTCAAGCATATCTACTCTTCTTTACAGCTCCTACATTAACGACCTACATGATTCAATTCTCCACTGTTCCCATCACCTATATGCAGAAGATTTTCAAATCTACCTATCCTTTTCTCCCCCTCCATATCTACATTTAAAACCCTCCTATTACAATTCGTGTCCCAAAAACAGTCAGATGGCAGATGAAGAAAACAGTCAAAAACAGCTGACCTTTTATGATTTAATTACATATAATTCATCATTTAAATACTCGGACAATTTTTTCCATCAGATTCGGCTTTCTTTTTTTTTTCTCTCTCTACAGAAACAGTGTTTATTTTTAAGAAGACTTTAATGTTTTTTTAATTTTATTTTTCTTCTAAAAGTTTAAATTTATATTTTACCACTGTACATAGTTTTAAGTGTCTTGGCATAGTCTCAAATGTTTTGTATATAGATTTTTTTTTTTTTTTTGTATATAGCATGTTTAACTCATGTTTTCTTTACTTATTTCTCTTTCTTTGTATTTTTGTTCGTTTTTATTTAGGCCAGATGTAATATTTTAATTTTGTACTTTTATTATTCTAAAGGAACTTTGTCCCAGAGTAAAATTATTTTCTATTCTATATAAGGAACATAAATAAATCAAATAAGAATATTAAAATTCACTAGGAACTGATGTCTGGTTGATCTTACCTTAATATAACCAATTTTATTTATAGAATAAGAATATTCTATATTTTGTTTTACTTAAAATGATTTGTAAATTAACATATTGACTCGCCCCAATTAACGTTGTAATTTATACAATGTTGATCTTTAAAAGATGACTAACATCACTATCGAAGCATATTATTATTAAATGTAGTTTTGTATGAAATTAATTGTGAATTGGGTCTTAGAGATGGCTTGAAAATGGCATCATAGCCGAAACATAGTCAATGTAAAAAACAAAATAAATATGGTGAATGATACAGCCCTACTTTATATTATTATAATTAATTTCACCTTAAACAAAAACATAAATGTATCTATTGAATATTGAGGTATCTATTGAAATGTATCTATGCATACACAGTTATAAAAAAATAAAAAATATTAAGGGAAACAAATATATTAAAAAACAAATAAGAAAGGTGAAATAAAATCTTACTGCTTAAATATAACGATAGAAAAAGATTAACTAAATTAACCATATAAACATCCATTATTAACCTAACAAATAAAAATAAATAAACTGCAACTTTGGTAATTTAAAGATATTAAACTGACTAAACATAATTGTTTAGCAGATGTGATAACTAAATAAACATACTATTCGACTAAATACAAATAAAGGATTGTGAGAAGAAATAAGGGTATAATTACGAACATAATCAATTATAGATTAAATATAATAATAAACTCTAACCAATGGCAATATGAAATACGTATTCATATATCTTACAAAAAACAAAACGTATTAAGAAAAAAAAATCCTTATTTATTTTCTTTTTGGCTTTAAGATTTTAGACAAAACATATTCATATACCTTACAAAAACAAAACATATATAAAGAAAAAAAATCCTTATTTTATTATTATTTTTTCTTTTTTTTGGTTTTTGGCTTTAAGATTTTAGACAAAACGTATTCATATACCTTACAAAAAACAAAACATATATAAAGAAAAAAGATTTTTTTTTGCTTTTTGACTTTAAGATTTTAGACAAAACCCTATTTTGCCGGAAATTTGTATTTGTACAATGTAGTTAAGCTGTAATTTTATTTTCCTAATGAACTTTTTAAATCCTTATTGTATAATACATATTAAGTCAGCATCTGTTTGTGTTGCGAAGAGGAACTGGAAAAAGAGAGTTTTAAATGTGGATAAGGAGGGGGTATGGCAAATTTTAAAAAGGGAATTCCAAAAAGTGATGGAGCAGGCAATGAAAGAATTTTGGAATTAGGCAGAACTATGGAAAGGAATATACAGGTCAGATGGTGGAGACCATGTGAAGAGGAAGTGAATGGAGGAATAAACGAATGTGCCGAGGAAGTATTGTCTTCTGAAGAAGGGGAAGGGCCACTATAACTCAGCATAGTAGTGGGAAACACGGGAACGACTCGGCGTCCTATTGATGAATCTTATGAAGCTGTTTATATTCCTTTTTAGTCTTTCTCTGAGATCCGCCGAGAGGCTACCGTACACCACACAGCTGTAGTCAAGGAGGGGGAAGATGAGGGAGGAAATAAAGAGTCTTTGTGTGGGGTTAGGTAGGAGATGGCGGGAGCGATGAAACAGTTATATGGTGCAAGTTAGTCGATGGGAGATATGAGCAATATATTTGATTCCAGGAGAGGGTTTGGTCTATGATTATGCCTAGGTTTTTAACAAAGATACTGAATGAGATGAGATGCTTATTTAGGTGTAGGGTAGGAAAATTGGTATTGGATCTGAGAAAGGGTTTGGAACCAATGAAGATGGCCTGAGTTTTATCAGTATTTAACTGTAACCCATTTAAGCTTGCCCAGTTACTGATACGACTGATAAGTTTTCAGGAATTTTGGAAAACAAAACACCCAACTCAGAAGGAGAAAAGGGTAAATAAATTTGTGAAATGTCAGCATAGAGGTGATGGGGAACAATGAAGAATTGATTTATGTACATTGTTAATATAGGAGCTGAAGAGATATGCTCGAACCCTGGGCCACTCCAGAGGTCAGAGTAAGATAGGAAAGACTGGAGTCAATTAAGAATAGAAACTGCTTGGGAACCTTGAGAAAGGAATGATGTAAATCAAAAGATTATCACAGGTGATTCTAACTAGAGCAGATTGAATGGAGTAACCTAGTTGGAAATCCGATTGGTGAAGAACCAATTGATTTGACTGTTCCAGGAAATAGGAAAGTTAAGACTGCACAAATCTTTCAAGGTGTTTTGAGAGATTGGAAAGGAATGATAGTAAGGATTTTCAATTACAGGATGAACAAAGGCTTTTATCCAAGTGGTTGTAAATACAAAATTCTGGAGGGTTCAATTAAAGTATATATATACATTCCTCCTGGAACATTTTTATATATATATATATATATATATATATATATATATATATATATTTACGACTTTTCCTTAATCGACCTTTGAGTATTAAATTTAAACTTAACTATTTAATTGGGAATAAGGTCACTTATTAATTATTTAATAAACTATTGAATGTTCATTTCTTCTGTTTATTGACATTTCGTAAAGTACAGTAGCTTAATATATGTGCTAGTGGACGGTGCTGAGACTGTCGGTGTGTCCCTGGCCTGATCGAAGCTCTATTTTTTTAAATTCTAGCTTTGAAGAGGATCCCATGGTTGACTAATAAAAAGAAAATACCGGGATCGAAACGTCAATAAACAGAAGAAATGAACATTCAATAGTTTATTAAATAATTAATAAGTGACCTTATTCCCAATTAAATAGTTAAGTTTAAATATATATATATATATATATATATATATATATATATATATATAAAAATAAAACACATACACAGATGAAAACATATCATGCTACGAAAAAGGTGAAACAGAAACTATAAAATTCAATTCTATAACACAACTTAAAGCAAACCATAAAGTAGAAGTTTTAATTACAGGCAAATAATTGATGCAAGTTATTTCATAACTATATAGAATTAATAAATGAACAAACAAAGTCAGTGGAGTACAGAATCATTGCCAAGAAATTATTAAATTTTCAGGAACTTGATACAAAATTAAAAAAATTCTGCAAGGTGCAATTGAAATTATTTAAGCAGGGATAAATCAGGAAATTAATAGATAAATGTGGAATGTAGGTTATGGGTAAAAGATGATCTAATACTCCTTGACCCCATTATCAAGGTAAAATTACATTTTTAACTGTCCTTGCAGACAGGGATAATACTTCCTTAAATTATAGAAGTTTACATATGTTCTTTGATTTAATTGATGAACTGATTAACTCAATTGGGGTAAATAAAATATTACATTAAATTATTTACATCAATCAATAAAAGATATTGAGATAAGTATTTAAAGATATGACTCAGTAGGTGACTCATTTTTGTTATCAAACATATCAATTATACATAAGGTGCTGATAAGTCATGAATTCATATGCATATACAGTACAATATTGAATAGGGCCTAAGATGCACCTGACTGGTACAAAATTGTTTGTTTACAATGTCATGTCAGCACCTCTTATCAATAAAGAGGATATTGATAAGAAACATTACATAATACCCATACATTTAAAAAAATGAATATTTAAAAGAAAATATTAAGGTACTATTATTATTTTGTGTAAGCTATTATAAAGAAACTTTGCATGGGGTGAATTAGACATATGGCGTGCATGTGGGCAGTGACCTAAACAACCAAACCACACCCACATCATAAAACGTTAGTAATTTAAAAATAAATAAATTAACAGTCGAAAGAAAATGTTGACGTTTTAAAAAAATTCTTAATACACTTTGATACCGAAATGTTTATAAAAAAAAGCTAAAGAGTTATACACTAATCAGTAAATGAATACCTGGCGAACACTTAAATTAATTAAAATATGCACAACCTATCAAACAAGTCAACCAGGCGAAAAATTAAAAAAAAAAAAAAAAGGAATTGACAAAATAAGTAAATGAAATTTATTAACACTATAAATAGGTGAAAGTTAATTTATTAAAAAGTATGACATCACCGGTATGACGACGCAAACTAATTTCAATTATGACCAATGCAAGCGTTATGCCAGTGAGAATAGAACAGTGAATGTATATTATAAAAACATAGAAATTCAGATATAATAAAACAACTTACTCAGTTTTAAGTTCTTCATTTTCAGTATACAACCTCCGTGTATCAATTTGAAGTTTTGTCTTTTCCCGCGATAATTCATCTAAAAGTTTTCTTGCTTCTGATAACTCACTTTCATATAAAGATTTAACACTAGTTACTTCTCTCGTAATATTTTCTTGAGAACTTTTAACCTCCCGAGTTAACCGGTTATTTTCTGTTTCTAAATTCCTGACTCTGTCAATGTAACATGCTAAGCGATCGTTCAAATTAGCAAGTTCCTGCTTTTCGTGAAGTCTACTATATCTTGTAGGACTTAAAGGACTCTTTCTAGCACCTTGAGGAGTAGGAGTTTCACTTTTTCTAGGTGAACTTCTAGAAGGACCTGCTGATGAAGCACCAGCTGGAGTAGTTTTTTTAGGTGACTTGGTAGACATTTTAAAGTGAAGTTACCAACAACGGTGACCAATATCAGCAAATCTACTCGCGTGTAAACACAACTAAAACAGACTAGACAGCTTAGTAGGACGCCAGCCACTTCACGCATGCGCCTAAATGTACTCCTAGCTTACTATCGTAGTAAGCTTCGCCATCTTTAGTTTCCAAAGAGCTACTTATTTATTTTATTAGTTACAATGTGAATGAACTATTTTACTATTATATTCTTAAAATATAATTAGAATTTTCTAGATATTCATGAAAAGAAATATTGGTTTGATTCAATAAATAAAAGTAAATGTTTGAACAAAATACACTTTTTGCAGTCATAAACATAATTAATTACATGTATAATACAGAATACCGTTTCTTAATTATACTGCGAAAAAATTAATAAGGATCTTGTTAGTTATATATGATTTATTTTCCCAAGAAGTTTTATCATAAAATACATTTAAAATTAATATAAATAAGATCATTTTAAAAAAATGATAAAATTTGTTGTTGCTTACGAATTGTAAACATTTTGTAAAATTTAATAATTTTTGTAATATCCTCTGCAGCGCCCTACCTATCTGCTTCTGTTGAACATACTGTTTATAATGTTATCACTGATTTCACAAGGAATTTTGTATCAAAAACATGGTCATTACATTACTGCTCTCAGTTGCTGAAGGCTAGAAATCTGCAAGTGGTGTTCAATAAGCCTTCTCTGCAGTGCATCCCACATTTGCTCAATGCGAGTGAGATGTAGAGACAACACGGGAAAGGGCAGATGTGAAATTTCAAGATTTTCAAGACATTGATAAACAATTTTTCCCATATGAGGTGAGGTATTGTCGTCAAGAAAAGGAAATCTGTATTAATTATGGTCCTGATTTGAATAATGTACTCTTCTACAATTTTTTTAATATAATGAAGTGCAATAAGATTACCTTTCACAATATGGAGCAGAAGCAGAGTCCGTCCTGAGTAGATTGCACCTGTAGACTGCATTGAAAGAAGTACAAACTGTGGTTGTGTACCCATCCCTTGTCCCCTGACATAAAATGTTAGATCAACTTCTCACAAACGATTACGAATATTTTGTGTTCTTATGGAACTTGGCCTAGCGCGGGCTCATTACCGCGTAGGGGGAGCGTCACACAGGTGTGGGGATGGTCGGTGGAAATTCTTTGGAAGTTCCTCCCGGCTAAGTCCGATGGACTCGCTGACCAACAATTTGAGAGGACCTCCAGACTTGCTGGAGGGTGTGACGTAGGATTGAACGCCCTACTCACATATCTTTAGTTCACCATACACCACAAATAGGCATGGATCTTCCTAAGGTAAAACGCTCATTATCCGGAGGTAAACTAGACCCCCGTTCGAGTCTCCGGGTGGGGACTGCTTTAGGGGTTTCATGGCGCAAGTTGAAAAATATTCATTTAAATATTGGTAGGTGGAACGTAAGAAGTCTAAAAGCAAGGGGGTTAAAATCGGCCTCGAATGAGGTCAATGGGTACAGTATGGATGTCGTGGAGCTGCAAGAGGTTAGCTGGCCAGGGGAGGGCTCGATGATGGAAGGAAAGTACACTATTTGGTACGGAGGAATCGGGAATCATTGTTTAGGTACCGGGTTTCTGATTAGGAATAGATTGCTATCCGCTTTGAGGGACGTACAATTCATTAGTGATAGAATTTCGGTAGCTATATTTCAGGGACGTTGGTTTAAAATCGCATTAATAAACATACATTGTCCGACCGAAGACAGTGAAATGTCTAATGTCAAATGTCAAATTCAAAGTCAAAGTCAAATGTGAATTTTACGATAATCTCAAATGGGTTTATGATAAACTACAGCGAAACAAACTTCATGAAAATAATTGTAGGTGACGCTAACGCAAAGTTGGGAAGGGAAGACGTTTATGTTCCCACGATTGGTAAATAAAGTTTGCACGAATTTAGTAATGATAACGGGATCCGTCTGATAAACTTTGTCATCTCGAAAAATCTGATAATAAAAAGTACTACGTTTAAACATAAGGATATTATATGTGTCCTCCTTCTGAGTGCTGAACCGATAATAGAAGGACGAAGTAAAGAGGAAGTTGAAGTAGCTATCGGAAAATTAAAATCTTATAAAGCAGCGGGAACCGATAATGTTGTTACTAAACTGATTAGGGCATGCGGGGAAGCTGGAGTTTCTAAAATACATCGGTTGGTTAAAAAGATCTGGGCGAGTGAGAAATTACCTGAAGAATGGAAAGAATCTATTCTTGTTCCAATTCACCAAAAAGGGCCCGAGGACGGGTTGTAATAACTATCTAGGAATTTCACTCCTTCCGGTATGTTATAAAATATTCACTTTAACCTTAACTAGTCGAATCACGGAATACGCCGAGGAAATTATCGGAGACTACCAATGCGGATTTAGACGGAATCGTTCGACTATTGTTCAAATACTTACAACGGTATTGTTCACCAGTTATAAATAGATTTCCAAAAGGCTTACGATTCTATTGACCATCAGAAACTGTATATTAATGTATATAAACTGTATTCTAATCGAGCAGGGGATTCCAAAAAAACTTGTAAATCTAGTCAGGATGTACTTGACGGAACACTCAATAAAGTAGGAATCGGTAATAATCTGTCCGAAAAGTTTGAGGTTCGTTCGGGTTTAAAACAGGGGGATTCCATTTAGCCTGTCCTGTTCAATTTAGAACCAGAACATGCCATTAGGGAAGTAATACGTACCGAAAAAGTGTTGGATCTGGGTGGGACAACACCCGTGCTGGACTATGCGGATGATCTGGTACTGTTAAGCGAAAACGTGGAAACTATAAAACTAAATACGACAACGTTAATGAATGACAGTAAAGAACTACGGCTCGAATTAAACACGTTAAGGCAAAATATATGGTTAGCTGGAAAAATAGTGAAATTACTGGTGATATCGATATAGATGGTAATATGTTTGAACAGGTAGATCAGTTTAAGTATCTAAGTATCAGTATTTAAGTACCCCGAAAAAAATCCCCAAATAAAACAAATAATAAATAAAATAGCCGACAACTAAATATCGCTTTTATTAAATGATTATTAGTATTAAATTAAATTACAAATATCATCTCCAAATATGTTAATATATGTTTTTTCTTTTCTATACCGTACCTAAATCATGACCCTAATCCAGTGGAATTGCAATGGTATTAAAAGTCACTTCAACGATTTGAAGCTAATAATGGAAGATGAAGATCCTTTTTGTATATGCCTCCAAGAAACGCATCTAAAGCCTTCAAACCAATTCACTCTTAAAGGTTTCAATATCTATAGGACAGATTCTGGTCCAGATTACGAGCGAGCGTGTAGAGGCGTAGCCATAGCCGTAAAAGATACCGTTTATTCCCACCCAGTAGAAATAGATTCCCCACTTCAAGTAATAGCTGTTACAGTTCATTTAAACACAAAATTTACAATTTGCAACATTTATCTCCCCCAAGACAATACTATAGAGACAGAAAACCTTCTCCATATTCATAGGCAGTTGACAAACCCAATTTTGTACACTGGAGATTTCAATGGCAACAACCCATTATGGGGTTCACAAGACACAAATCCTAGAGGTTGCATTATAGAAACTTTCTTAGATTTAACGAATACTCTGTTACTAAACTCCGGCGAACATACATAAGTTCTAGCTTTGGTACATTTTCATCCATTGATCTCTCTATATGCACTTACTCACTGATTGATAATATAGAATGGACAGTTCTGCCAGAGCCTTATGGAAGTGACCATTTCCCAATTCGTCTAAAATTCAGAAGTGCAAACTGCAATAATTACAGGCTCCCTCGTTGGCTATTAGAAAAAGCAGATTGGTCACCATTCACGTCTTTAGCTGTCCCACCTCAAAATCACCCTAACAGTATGAATGTAGATGATGGGTGTAAATCTATAACTGAGACAATAGTTACGGCAGCAGAGCTCTCAATCCCTAAAACCAAAGGCCATTAAAAAAGGACACCTGTCCCCTGGTTCGATAGTGATTGCAAGAAAGCCTTATACAACTTCGGAGTAATGCATTTAAAATATTTAAGAAAAATATGAATCAGGTTAATCACATTGAATATAAAAAACAAAGGGCTGTTTGCAGAAGAATTATAAATGACAAGAAAAAAGAATCATGGAAATCATTTGTTGAGTCCATTAACTCGTCTACCTCCTGCAGTGTTGTATCGAACAAAATAAGGAAGATAAGGAACCAATTCTTCCTACAAATATACTTTGATATGCGATGAAAAACTATGCGATAACCCAGACATTGTTGGAAGAACATTTGCCGAATATTACTCAGAAGTTTACACAACGGCTTCTTGAAATAATATGGCTCAAGATCTAAACTTCTCTGACGATAATGCATATCAAGATTACAACATTCCATTCAGCATGTGGAAACTCCAATAAATACTCCAAACTGTCAAAGGATCTTCACCAGGACCAGATAATGTAGACTACTCCATGATACAACATCTTCCGAAAGCTACACTGAACTGGCTTTTAAATTTTTACAATCATATTTGGCTTAGTGGTAACTTCCCTAGCAGCTGGAACGACTCTATAGTAGTCCCAGTATTGAAGGGTAGTCGAGATAAACGTCATCCATCCAGCTACCGACCAATATTTTTAACCAGATGTCTATGCAAAGTAATGGAACGATGGAATGGTAAACAAGAAACTCACAAGGATCCTAGAAAAATATCATCTCATCCAAAACTTCCAATGTGGTTTTCGCAAAGGCAGATCAACTGTAGACCACCTGGTTCAAATGGAAGCCGAATTACAGTATGCATTCATCCAAGAGGAACAAGCTATTGCAGTTTACTTCGATATGAAAAAAGCCTTCGATAAAACTGACAAATTTGCTATCTTAAACAAAATACACTCGCTAGGATTCAGAGTTAACTTACCAAAATTCATTCAAGGATTCCTTTCTAGTCGCTGCTTTCGCGTCCGTATAGGGAAACTGTTATCCAAGCAATGTAGACAAGTGAGTGGAGTACCACAAGGATGCGTTTTAAGTACAACACTTTTCGCA